CACCGTCACGCAGTCGGCGCTTTAAAGAATATCGCTACTTGTAAGAAGCTCTTATCTAGGGACCTTAGGTCAGCTAATACTGCTTTAAATTAAAGAGTGTTGTTTTATTTATAGCCTTTATAGTATAGACCAATAATCGTCTTCTGTGGGCTGACATATCTCCTGAGCTGTAAAAGGCGTTTTGGGCGTGCGGAGTAGCTCCCTTCTTCGAAATATGAGACGCCGTGGATGCGGCCACAGCCCAGTGACTCAGCATTTTTCGCCTGGGTGATAAGCGCTGGGAAGGTTATACAATGTAAAGAGAGCAAAATTCGCGTCGCGTTAAACGCCTAGCATTAGCTCATCGCTTCAAGCAATGGATCTGATTGGTAGTGTGTGAAAGCGATGAATGATGCAATGTTATTCGATTCGATAACACAGCTGTTCTCTAGGTGAGCTAGTAGTGGTCTGAATCAAACAGGGTTGTTTCACTCATAACCTACACGCTGCAAGAGAGCCACAGGGATGGAAGTGCTGCGCCATTTGCGCCAAATTGTGCCGTGAACGAAAGTCTGCGACATCATGCGCCAAAACGCCAAAGTGCGCCACACCTGCGCCGAGACAAGCTTATAAAACCCCTAAAAAAATTTTTTTTTAACAGTCTGGTTTGAACATGCGTGTCGAGAAATAAATTTTACGCGACAAAAATATTTTTTGAGAGCAATATTGACGGCAAGAAATGTATTTGAAATTCTGCGCGCGAAGTCCATGATGTCACGGGTCTTTCCGGAATGACCATCTCGGTCGTGAAGGCAACGCACGTCTCCTCCACGCGCCTGATATCTCGAAAGAGAAAACAAGTGGAAAGGATCTGACTGTAAACTTCTCGCGCCGTCAATATTGCTCTATTTTTTGTTCGTGGAATTTTTTTTTTTTTTTTGACATGCGTGTTTTAATTAGGCTAAAAAATTTTTTTTTCTTTCTAGGGGCTTCTTAATGTCATTTTAGCACCTGGCCTACCCGATTGCAGTTCATTCCATTCTATACATTTCATTGTTTAGGAAAATCACAGTCTACATGTGTAAGTTCAGAGCCCAGCACGCGCATGTTCGCCGCTTTGGAAGGCGAGCAAAGCACGCGCCACACGCACGAACACTGAAAATGGCGCCGACCAGAAGCGCTTTTCCAGTGGTGGATCCAAGAGGGGGGGGGGGGGGGCGCCCCCCCCCCCTCCCCCCAAGAAAGTCGACCCTCCCCTGTCCCCCCTTCTCAGAGGGCGATTTCACATGGCTGAACCCCCGGTGCACAAGAAAGAATGGGTAAATAGTATCCTTAGAAATTTTTGCGCCCCCCCTCCCCAAAACGGGGTTCTGGATCCGCCTCCGCGCTTTCTTGGTAGGGTCTATAGATGCTTCACTAAATTAACCAATCACCAAGTAGCATATGCATGTTACAAGAGTAATTAAATGTGCTGGCGTCAGCAACAGTAACTTTTCTAAAGAAAATCTACAACAAAATGGCACGTTCCTTCAGGCAACACGAGCGTGTGGTGCGTCTGTTCCCGCATTCCGAGCAATATCCGTGGTGCTTGGGTAATTTGTCAAATAATGTACTGCGTGAGTCTTCGGGCTTTCTTCTCCGGTGTAATTGCCGGCTGATAAATGGATAACGTATTTGCTAGCGATTTCACAAAAGTAGCGAGCTGTGGCTTGAGCGTACCGAGTTGCCAAAACGATTTTCTCAAAATCTTAGTTGCTTCCGGTTTTTTTTTTTTCTTTTTATAGTTTAGCATGTACGCCAAGGTCATGCCTTGTGCAACTAGAGATTATTCTAGCACGAACGCCCCTGTATTCTCGCTATTTGACGCGATAAAGGCAGGCACGAGCGCACCCGATTGCCGGCCGCTCGCCTCGCACCCCTCCCGTTGACGTCACGTTTGGATGACGGGGAAAACTAGGGAAAAACTGGGCAGAACGATGTATTGGTTTTGGAAGCAAACAAAATATCACTTAAAAAAAAATTAACTTGAATGAATCTGGAGGAACGTAGATAGCATTTGAGAATCAGGAAACCATCCGCATTCAACTGATGCCTTTGAATTAAGTAGCTCAAAAAGCCGCATTGTTCAAGGAAGAGAGATTATGTTTTATTATTGGTCGACGCTAATGTTCAGAGAAGTAGAAGAAAAGAAAGATCGTACAAATGTGGATTTTACAGCGTCTCTACTCAGCGTAAATTTGTTTAGTCTTCGGTCAGAGCACAGTCGAAGGCTCGAACACGTACAACCAGAAACACACATACTAAAAGCGCAAGTCACGGGACATTCGCTGCACCCGACTGGTTTAGCCGATGAAAGAACACGTACAAGGAGGTGGCGAATGCCATGATGTCACTCTTTGATGCTGCCAATGAACCGGCGAGAGCCTTTGATGCTGGCCGTCATCCGCTCTGGCCGGTTGATCGTTGACATCGTCTAAATTTCCAGACGATGTCGTCGATGTCAGGAACTAAGGGTCCCGAGAAAACTTTGCAAACTTGTGGGATCGCCGATTGCGGCTACTGCGATAAAACAGAACCAGGGTCTTGTACTCCTGATAAGATCACTCGATTATTATCACGTCTGCCGCATGCCTTCGTTGCGCGGCTGCAGAATACCATGGCACTTGCGCCGCTCGCGTCATCCTTCACCGCCTCTCACCAGCCCAGCGTGCGCTTCACTGCTTTTCACCGGAGTACTAAAAGCAGCGGCAGACCTGAGGGAGCGCCTGGCGTAGACTGCGATAGACACGCAAATTATGCTCAGGATTATTACAGGTCTAACACGTTTGTCCTAATTGTAAACTAATCTCTAATTTAAAAAAAAAAAACAGCAGAGAAAGAGACAGACGAAAACAAGGGTCTACATATACTTGAATAAATACGGTACTCACGAAAGAGCAGCGAACTTTGGCTTAACTCTGGTCCCTACACCGCTAAAGAGCAGTGTCTCTTTTAAAGCGCAAGTGTAGGTTTTACAGTATTTTTGGGTGGCTGTTTTTGCGGTGTATGATATTAGAGTGTTGAGTTTGGTACGTGCATTGTGGGACACATTTTTATTGATAAACGTATTAGCGAATATGCTGATTCTTGCTGACATTTTACAGACATTATATTTACAGGCTAAACAAACTCCCGAGTGTAAAATGGAGAGGGGGCAGATGTGCTGCGCTATGATTCATTGTTCAACAATTTTTTTAATATCCATTGTAAATGAAGCCTACTCTGACTAGAGCTTTATTTAAGAAGACTGCTCCTTTGATGTTCTAGATATTCTTGTCACAAACGGTAATAACTAATATGCTCGAGTAAGAGAAAGAACCCTTGATCGCAATCTTAAATGAACTCATTAAGATGCAATCACTTTCTCATTATCAAGTGATGTGCTAGAGATGTTGGCATCTGCTCCAAACGTATATTTTGCCTGCAACGAACCTGCTACAAAATATCCAATTCCGCTTCCATCCCCGGAGCCACAAACTAACATGGCTCATTCCTCTTCAATTTAAACTATAATTCGCACACCTCCAGGACGCTAGCTTTGAGATGATAAACAGGAGCTGTTCTTTAGGTGTGCTGATAGTGGTTTAAATCAAACAGAGTTCCTTAAGGGCACATAGACAGAAAAATTGTGTTTACTTGTTCATTTGTTTATTGTCACAACACAGCAGTTTCCAGCAAAGTTAATTTGACGTAACATTTCAGCAATTAAGTGATGCTATCTGCTCTCAAGTGTGGGTTATAGATTGAAGAGTATAAACACAAGCCACACAAGTCACTGCGTAAAAATGCAGCATCCATGAGACAAATACATGTTCGTAGTGTCTCCCACACACTGTACATGCTTTTTTTGTATTTATAAAATTAGTGTGAGCCAGTGTGCAGGTGATGAACCTATTTGAGCACCTGAACTTGTTTTTTTTTTTTTGGTTCATCAGGTTTTTTCTGGCATTAGCTGTTGAATATTTTCCATTTTTTTATGTTATATTTTTTTGTGTGTTACACGCAAAAAATAAAGCTTCCGTGTATACTTTATCTGGTCATTATGACTGGATTTTTGTATTTTTGCACTTGGTATTTTCTGTTTGTGCTTTAAATGTTAGTTTAGTTTGACGTTTTTAATAATATTTTTGTCTTATATTTTTTAGACTGTTTCTGTGTTAATATTTATTAATCTTTTTTGCACTTGGACTCCATCTTGCCAACTGTGAATAACGGAACATCTGTCATGCTACTGCAGCAACCTTTTTTCTCAGCTCCCTACCCCACTGTAAAAAAATTCTGATTATTTTATTTCAGTTTGGTTGACTTTTATGTGCAAAGCTAACAAATGACGTTGGGCCAAACCCTTTGAAAATTCTTGTAATTTCCCCCAAAGCCATCATGCTGGCTGGGTAGAGAAAGCAGACGGCACGTTTCGTTGCGCTCGCCCCTTGTTTGCCGCTGAGCTGACAGTGTGGTTGGAGCTATAGGTTCATTGAACTGATCAGTCACCTCCCTTTCATCAGTTGACCACCTGCGCGTGGTTATCGGTGGGACTCGGGGAGTATGATCACGTCACGAAAGATAGGCATAGCACTGGTCCAACGAGCATGTGGCTCCCGTCCCACTGTCAGCTTTGGGGTGAATAGTGCAGCCCTAACCCGCGTGGTGCCGACAGGGTCACCGGTAAGAAATAGTGCGCCAAGATTTGAGACTGTTTCCAACAGCTACATCGGGGTCATGTGGTTTATAGGCCGAGTTTGGAACAAAAGGTGCAAGAGGTGGCAAAAGTGTCAGTCGTCCCGAAGCGTCTCCAAGCTTTACTGAGCCTCCCCGCCTCCTGTCCTCCCCGCCGCGAAACACTGCACGCATGCGCATGAGCAACCCGTCTGCTCAGGAGGTGTCCGCCATTAAATTGCAAATGCTTTCCATGGTTTGAGTTGCCCCCCTTCTGAAATCTAGGCTCTCTATAGAAAGGGACACATCGATAAACTTTGGAAAAGGAAGCCAACTACAGAACGGCACCGTCTTGTCTCGCCGGTTTGCAGACAGTTTCGGACAGCGCGGGCAAGCTCGACTTCGGCGAGTTCAAGCTGCAGCTCTTCGACAACCCTTACGTGAACAACAAGCACCAGCCCAAGCCCGAGATGAAGCTTGGAGGGTGGTTCCGGCCGTCGTGCATCCCCATTTCCATCATCCTGGTTCTCGTCGTGCTCGTTGTTCTGTTCCCGCTCTTGGGACACTCCAGGGACCCGAGGGCAAGCCACGGGCACTTTTCCAAGTGCAAGGAGTCCTGTACCCCGATCGACTGCCTGGACTCCTGTTCGTGAGTGCACCTATTTTGCACGTCTTCATACTTGCCAAGTTTCCTGTATTAACCGGAAGACCCCCGAATTTTCACCATTTCGTACGGTTGTTCGATTGACAGGAAAATCTCCTGGGAAACGCAAGTTAACCCTTTTTCCTTACTTCCCATCCGCCTCCCTCCCCACCACACACACCCACAATTAAACAAAGAGTTTTTGCCTTCGCAACAGATGGCAGCAATGACAGCGAGGGCCAGCTGTATCTCGATAGCTCGAGCAGTGCAATAAAGAAGTAATGAAGCTGTCTTCATGTTAATTAATTGTTGAAATTTCTTAAAAATAAGCTAAAATATTTCCCGGATCCGGTATCTTTGAACTTGTCAGGTATTTGCATCTTAAGTTCACACATTTGTGTTGTTTGACCATGTACGAGTGTGTTGTGATCTTTTGTGACCGCTTACCATGAAAGGTTTAGACATGTACTATCGTGGACAATATGAGCTGAAACAGCGCTCCGGCCGGCGCGCGGTACTACCTGCGCCGCCTGTCGGCTTGCCGGCTCACCCTGAGGCCGAGATAAATTATCACTTGCGCTCGCTGCGCCACTACGCCCTTCCGGCCGTCTGCTAGCAAGACAGCGTGTGCGACAGCGGGCGTGTGCGTGGTAAAAGAAGGGGGGAGGGGGGGGGGGGAGGAGTGGAGGGGAGGGAGGGACGGACGGATGGACCAGAGGATTACAGTTATCGTACTTTTTTTTGCACTTCATTTACTTTATTCTGTCGGGTAGAATCACGTACAAAAAACGCTGACTGCTACAGAAAAATGTTGAGGTATCTTAAATTGCAGCTGCGATTATCGTTTTTGAAAGTCACATCAAAAGACGTTGCAGGTTTTTTTTTTTTTTTTTAAGTGCATGCACAAAATAGGACATCGTAAAATATCGGCCAAAATATAAATCCGGATTTAGGCCGGCTCCAATGTATTTACCTTTCTTTTCCTTTTCATTCAGCACAACTGTTTAAAAGAAAGGTAATTCTACATGTTTCTGCGAAGGTTTTGCAACCTTGATTGGTATACAAAGGTTCAAAAAATGTTTTTCTTTATTACTGGGCTCTCGTGTTTTCAAACAAAAGAGGTTGCTGACAAGACACTGGTGTTTTATTTACAAATTCCTATCTTAACAAAGTGAGACAAACAGTCTTATATTTGCCAGGGGGAGGAGCTTGAAGCTTCATCGAAAGAATATTCGCAGAGGACAATGTCAGACACAAAAGATTAATAGTTGGCGTGGAAGATCAACTGCACCATACAAGAAGATTAGGATTAAGGATGCTCCACACAAAAGTATGTGCCGGTTAACGGCGTCAAACGGTTTGTCGCAACCGTAGCAGCAAGCTTTGTTACAATCGGCAGAAGTCCGGTTAAGGGGGTCCTGAGGCACAGTAAAACTTACAAAAGAAGTTAAAACCCCGTCATTCTCCCCTGACCCACGACCACGGCTCTCATCCTGTTTGGTAAGGAATCATAGAGCACGGCCACGAAGTCTGGCTCGCCCCCGAAGTCTCTCCCATTCACCTCTCACCGCTCCCCACAATTCGTTGGCAGAGGCGCGGTGGAGGGGATGCCGTGACATGGCTACCTTGATGCGCACCCAAACGTGCTCGATGATATTCATATCGGCTTCTTTTGGGGGGCAAGGCAGCTCCGTCACGCAGCGCTCCTCCAGGAGAGACCGGACCTTGCGGGACGTGTGGAGTGGAGTCAGGTCATGTTGGAACACGTAGTTCCCGTGAAGAAACGGGCCATCCAAGGCGTAGGGCAGCATGACATGGTCAATTATCGTGCAATAACTGTCCGAAGTCAGGCTGCCCTCAATCCTGAAGAGCGGCCCGAGTCCTTCTCGAGAGATGGCGCCCCAGACGTTCACGACGGTGCGACCGCTGGGGGCGACTTCTTGACGAACTGTGGGTCATAGCTAGAAAAGCACATGGTCCATGGGTCAGTTTTGTGGCAATGGCTGTCACGTAACAGAAAACAAAACTTGAAAACATGATTTGGCATTTCTTACCGGCAGTTTACAGGCCGCCATACCCGGAGCCGCTGGTCCCACTGCGTCGTAAATGTTGATTCGTCTGAGAACATGACCTTTCCCCAGTCGTCCCCCGTCCAGTCTTCGTGGACCTTGGAAAATTGAAGCCCTCCGACTTGACAGCCCTGCCTCAGCGAACCTACGGCGTGCTGTCCGGGAGGACGCATCGATCCCCAGGGTGTCGAGAACCTCCCGAGCCGATTGGAAGGGACTTGCTGCTATGGCTGCGACTAGCTGGTGGTCCTCCTCCTCCGTGGTAACTCGAGGACGTCTTCTGTGTGATGCATCCTCGAGCCGACGCTCATCTCTATAGGCCTGAACAATTCTATTCACAGTTGCTATCGATCTTCCCGTCATGTCTGCAATTGTCCTCTGCGAATATTCTCTCAAGCTCAGCTCTACGATGTGTCGCTGTTCCTCTATCGGTACCCTCGACATGTTGCGATGTGTCTCCGATGAATAGCAAATGCAATCTGCACTTAGGCCCCGTAATTCTGGACTGATTATTTAATGATAACTAAAAAAAAAATGCACACAAAAAAGTTGGGTTTCTACAGACCTTCTCTTGAAAAATTTTCGCGATAGCTCTGTGCTGTGTCATGCCACGCTTCTTCGTTCGAGGGCTGAAGAGCCCATGGCTCCTCCGTTTAATCTCTACTAGCCGCGTTAATTTGAATGATTATCATCTGGTAAACAGGAGGAAATCACTGCTGTGTGATGCGCGGTAAAGATCCCCATGCCAGCGGTCTGTGACAGCCTAAGAACATAGGGCGAGAGTAACATGGCTTGTGAGGAGGAAGCAGAAGGAACGCAAGAGAGGAGAGAAAGATTCCCTCCCCACTCCAGCGTCCCGTCTCCTTCCTCCTCTCCAGCCTTCGTTACCCTCGCCCCTTGTTCTTAGCCCGTCACTGACTATAGTTAATTCTGTTATCTAGAACGCAGCTCCTGAAACGTTTGCCATGAAAGAATGTTGGCGAATGCGCTATAAAACGCCAGTAATCCATCTTGGCGTATTCCGGATTATATTTTGGGAGGGGCCTGCCAGCCAACCTATACCCCCCCCCCCCCCCTTTTTCCGACACAGGGCAAGGCTGCGCCCCACCACACGCGGACGCGCGGCGGCCCAGGAGGAAGAGGGGGGGGGGGGGGGAGCGCCCATATTTTGGGGAGTGACAATGGAGGATTCGATCTCCAAACTGCCCTTCCGCCACAAACGCCCGCCGTTTACGCCACTGAACTGTTTACATTAAAAAAGTGTTGCAATCATTCAATCGCGCAGCGAATAAATATGCGTTTAATAAAACATTCGTCCTGAAAATACCTATTAGAGTGGGAGAGCAAAGATACGAGCGTGACAACCCTTTTTTTTTTCACTTCGGCGCTTTCTTGTTTCATTTTGTTCTGTTTTGTTTTTATTTTGAGTGACAAACCAACAGCTTAACGCCGCCTTGGTGGTGCAAATATCAATCAGTCAATCAGTAGTAAACTTTTTAAGAGGATAAAAGCGAAATGTTAGGATAAACAATAGTTTCAACACACTTTCGAAATTTACGCTCTTTATCAAAACTATCAAGACTAACATTTCCACAAATCTGTTCTAAATGGTTATACGTCAGTTGTAGGCCTGTCATGGGTGCAGCATGGTAAAAATGGGTAGGCTAAAACAAAGTATAACGCTTAGAAGACGAGGAAGCAGATGTGACTGATTAGCTCTGGTGAATCAATTATAACATTTACAATCTTATACAAATATGTCAGTCTACGAATTGTTCTTCTGCTGTGCAACGAGTCTAACTTTACGAGTTCACAAATCCTCTCATAACTATAAAAATAATTCGGTTGAAAATAACGATCAAACAATAAACAAACAAATCTACATTGAACACTCTCAATTACACCTGAATATTTCACTCCAATACAGCTCCAGACAACTGAGGCATATTCGACACGACTACGCCCCAGTGAAGAAAACAAACCCACAATACAAAGTGGGTTAGAAAAACCGCGTGTCACTCGCGTAATGGCTCCCAGCACTTTAAAGGAAGCATTCGCAATTGTAGTCGTATAATGATTGAAATAAATTGCAGGATCCGTGTAGAATTCAGCAGCAAGCGTACCGCTATGAAAGAACGACCATCTCGTCCGGTGCCTCGTGATGAACTGCTTTTATGTCATAGAAAAGAAGAAAAGAAAGAGGATAGGATTCTTAAAGTGAGATAGGTAGGGCAATACATAGAAGAAGAAGTGAAAGAGAAATAGCAGAACACAACATTTTCCCCCCTCCCCTTTTGGAGAAAAAACGACTATACAAAATGCACATAACAAAACCAGTCATAGATATTATACATACAAAGCAAAGATGCACAATTCATAATTCAAAAGAAATTCAAGTTAAGCATTCATTATCAGACTCTTAGCCTAGGCTATTTTTAAAGCATTCGCACTCAACACTCATACTCTTGTACACAATATCTCAAATAACACTGTCAGAAAGTTTCTTTTTACAGAATTCCAGCAAGTTATTTACGAAACTACGGCAAGTTATTTACAGAATTCCAGCAACTTAATTACAAAACTACGGCAAGTTATTTACAGAATTCCAGCAATAAATCGCACTTCGGATAATAAGCGTTAAAGAAATATGTAAACTTCTCTTCGCCCCAAGACAAATATAGTCAACTGTCACGTCTGTCACCGCGGGTCAGAGACTCAGATCTCTAAACCGAACCGGTGGTCGGCGAGTTCGGGTCGATCGCCGAAGCTCCTCCACTGGGGGAACGGAAACTGGCACTGGGGGAATTGTAGCATCCACTGAGGGAACGGGAATTTCCGGTGGCAACCTCACTCTTTGGTGTGTACTTGGTGGCACCGTCACGGCACCCTGTCGAGAGTCAAAAAGACCGGTTGGACTACCTGGGCACGCTTCGTCTC